TTCCTGCAAGACAAGATGATTACTTTCTTTTAGGCACCCAAGCTTGCCTGGGTCCTGAAGGGTTAGTGTTACTAGGTTCAGAACATTTTGGTTTCCAAACCCACCCTAACACATTTGATTTACGAAAATGACAAAAGAAATATTTATGCCCACTTTTATTACATTAATAACACTTAACATCACCCGCTTATAGGTCTTTCATAGGTATTGGAACTAGTCGACTTGGTTCTAGCAGGTTCTTTTCCAGTTGACTTGTAAGTCGTCTGGTTTGACCTAATAGAACTGTGACTGGTGGATTTACGCATGCTATTGAGCTGCATTTGCAAATCCTCAAACTCTTCTTGAAGTACTTCCTTTTCGATTTCACATACTTCATGTTTGAGTTTCCAGTCTTTAACCTCCCTAGTGAGTCTATTAAGTCCATTCATCATTTTTTGAGACTCTTTCAAGTTTGAATTAAGGATATCATGCAATTCATTACATCTTTCACAGTCATAAGGTCTTACCTCACTAGTTTCATCTCGTGCCATGAAACAATTTTCATTCTAGTCATCTGAAACATCTTCATCTGTCCAGCATCCTGAAGTTTTGTTCATTTCATTTTCCAGAATTGTCATGAAGAAGAGATTTGCTATTTATTCATGGTCAGAGTCATCCTTATCACTCCAGCTTCCGCAGGATTTGTTCTTGTTGAAGCCTCTAGAGATCTTCCTCTTTAGTTCTGGGCATTCATCTTGAATATGCCCAAATTTTCCACATTCGTAGCATTTTCCATCATTCTTATCCTGCTCGTTGTATTGCCTGGATCATCTTGGTGGAAATCTTCCTTTCTTTGTGTTTCTGTATCTTCTCATTAGCCCATCCATATTTCTAGACATAATAGCAATCTCTTCTTGCAGAGCTTCAGGATCATTAATTTCATTTTCAGCCATTTCAGTAGAGGTTTTGAATGCAACTATTTTCTTTTTCTCCTCTTGATTTGTCTTTTTGAGATGCGTCCTTTCAAAGGCAGTTAGTCTCCTCGTAGGTCATCATAGGATAATTTGTTTAGGTTTTGAGAATCTAGTGTGACTACTTTGGTCTGCCAAGTGGTTGGCAGACTTCTGAGAATTTTTCTGACTTGATCACCACTGGTGTAGGGCTTGCCAAATGCCTTTAAATCGCTAATTATTTTGCTAAACCTGACAAACATCTCTTCTCTCCTTCTTTCATTGAAAAAAGTTCGTAATAATGAACCAACATGTTGATATGTATTTTCTTTACTTTGCTGGTTCCCTCATAGGTGACCTCAAGTTTGTCACATATCTCTTTGGTTGTGTCACAACTTGATATTTTCTCGTATTCTTAACCACTAATAGCGTTATGAAGCAAATTTCTCGCCTTGTTGTTCACTTGTACTACTTCCAGTTGCTCCTTTGAGTATGAATCTATATCTTCAGGGTCAGCAAGTGGTGGAGTGCTAGCTGGTAGGGGATACTTTCCCTTTTTAATGACTCTCCAGACTTTGACATCGCAAGCTTTAGCAAAGATTTCCATTCGTACTTTCCAGTGAGAGAAATGTTGTCTATTGAAGTATGATGGTCTAACTTGTGAAGTTCCTTCCTGAAAAAGAGCTCCTATAATAACTTGNCCTATGATAACCTGATTTGCCATGATCTTTTCTCACAAGCTGTTAAGCAAAAGTAAAATGTGAGCCTAGCTCTGATACCAATTGAAAGTACAAGAGGGGAGGGGGGTGAATTGAAAATATTTAAACTTAATCGCTTATTAGTTGACTAATTTATTGAGTAGTCGACTAGATATGATAATTCAACAGATATAGTAAAAGAAAGTAAATTGCAGAAAGTAAATGCAGGAATTAAAGACACCAAGATTTTATACTGGTTCGGATTCAATGTGAATCTAGTCCAGTCCCCTTGGGTTGCAAGAGAGTTCTCTTTTAGTAAATGTGTTTCTCCGAGTACAGTTGTAGTGAATTTGCACACAGTTTCTCCGGCACTCCATTTTGATACAATGCCTCACCAGTGTTATGCTCTCTTTCTTTCCCTGACTTGTTACACAACAGATCTTAGTGAACTACAATGTTTGTTTGCGGTAAAATAAAGAGATTGATTTTGTTTCGATCAAAGTATGTCAGACTAGGGTTTAAGGGGGGATATAGATACTTTGATGGATGGTAGAGGCTTGACAACCCAAGAGATTTGATCCTTGGAAAGAAATTGATTCTTTCCAAGAATAAGATAGTAAGTCATTGCTTCTCCTTGATTTCCTTCCTTCAGCAGAGATACGAGTGAAAACTTGCTCCTTGATTGTTTGTCTTTCCAAACTTAGTCGCGTACCAATCTTCTCATAACTTTTGATCTTCCGGGATGCTGCCCCTGATTTGTGCCTTAACTTAAGGCTTGCTTGATTCTCTCCAACGTTGCTCTTTGCTGATTGATTTGCTGATTGGATTCCGTCCAGATTTGCGAGTCCTTTCCTTAGTTGTCCAGATTTGCTGATTGTATGGTAATCTTTGCTAATTGATTTCTTCCCTTATTCATCATGATTGACTCCAGCATTCTTGTGGTATCTTCTTGACTTCTTGTAATTGATTTTCTGTGCATGTATATTATTTGCATCATTAAAACTGGATCTAGCATACTTGAAGTCTAATCTTGGTAGTTTCACCCATATAGAAACCGAGTATAACTCTTCTATATTGAATTTCATAGTAGGTTCCCAAGCTTTTACTATGAAGGGCTTGTTGTCAAAATGGTATATCCCCCTTGCAACGCCTCATTTTTCCCCAGCTCTATATCAAATCGAACTAATACTATCCCATTTTTCAGCACAGATATCTTGTTTATTCCATGCTTTGCCCACATTTGCTGGATAAATCCATTTAACACTGCAAAGGGTAGATGTGCTCCAAGTACATAACACACTACTGCATTCTTCCAATAAGCCAGTTCAGTGCTAATATCCTCTATTTCAATATCACAAACAGGTGTTTCCCCATGCATTACCGGTGCTACAAAATCCAGTTTGAAACCTGCATTTGATACTTTGGTAATGTCAAAATTGTCCCAAATCGAAGACTTCTTCAGCAATTATTCTTCCTCCGCCTCAACTTCATCTGCCCAGGATATCCTATCCTTCCCTATTGAATCAGTTACCCTCACTTCTTCTTGCACATGTGACTGCTCTGTTACTGCATGCAATGGAACAATAAACTCACCATGTGAATTTGTTGTACCTCCAGTTTTCGACTACTCCCTCGATTCAGAGCTCGATGCTTGTTCGATTCCTGTTAGTTTAGTAACTTGTTCCACAGAAGTCTCAAAGTGCTCGGCCTCCGCCGAAATCTTCCCACTCCCCTCTTCAATTCCCAATTGTTCCAATTTCTCAGGATTGCACAAATTTCTACTCGTACCAGCTTGATTCCCATTCGGTTTCATCTGTGAAGTGCTTCGCGCAGCAGTGGCCTGCGCTATTAGAGCTTTCTGAGAAGGGATCCGAGCTCTCTTTCCCATGGATGGCGTAGGTTTGTTAAACTACACCGAGAGGGAATCGTATCGTGCACCTCTCATTTTAACTACACTTATTTTTAAAAGTATTTTTGTTCAAAGGTGCTTTTCACAAAGTACTTTTGCAAAGTAGCAACTTGTGTTTTGATAATTCATTAAATAGTATTTTTGTGTTTGGCGAATTCTATTCCAAAAAGTTACTTTTGAGTGTGAAATTATGAAAATGCCCGTAAAAATTTAATTTTCAATTAATGTTATTTGAAAGAGAAATAAATGAATTTAAATATTTGTTATAATAAATATATAATCTAAAGATTTTAATCAATATAAAATATAGTTATTCCAAAGCGATAATATTGGGTATCTATTACTTATTGTTTATATGATGATTTAAATATATCAAAACATACCATCCAGTATAAATTAAAAATCTACTCTTATAAATCACTATATAAAAGAAGATATATAGTTATAATAGAGAGGATATTCGAAAGCGAAATAGAAGAAAGAAAATAAAAATATGATAGAATAAAAAAGAGAAGAAATGTATGGTAAAAAGAGAAAAAGAAATAGAAATGTTAAATTAATGATGGATAGTTTGAAAAATATAAATTTAATATAAGGATACTTTTGTCTTGAATAAATTAATTTTCTACTTATGTTTCAGCTTTTTGGAAGAAGATAGAATTTGTAACTTCTTCCCAAAAGCACAAAAACTACTTCTACGACTCAAAAGTACTTTTCCATTTTGGCCAAACATCTCAAATTTCCAGAATGTACTTTTGGACAACAAAAAAAAAAAGAGTACTTTTTATTTTCTCATAAGCTTGCCAAACAAGCTCTAATACACAGAAAATTCTTTTCCTTTTAGATAAACAAAAACAAATACTCCATATGTTTCAATTTAGAAAAGTTTTATTGTGTGTCTCTCACAACTGACATTAGAGAAATTTTATTGCGTGCCTCACACAACTGACATTAGTTGTGTGAAGTTCCTTTTTGTGTTACAAATTTGTGGACTCCAATCTTACACTTTTGGGTTCACAAAACTGCGAGACAAAAAAGAGGCATCATACAACTAGTGTGAGTTGTATGAGACACAAAATATTTTTTTTTTCAATTTAGATGAGGCAGTTTGACTCATTACGGAGTTTAAGAAAAAGACTTTTGAAACTTGTGGCCTTAAAAACTTAAGGAGTAAAAGTTTTATGCGGCCATGACATTTGCGTGGTTATAAAGGATTTTTATTAAGGATAAAATAAAAAAAATGAAGAGTTTAAAGTTAAATTATTTTCAAATTTAAAAATATGTCATTTATTTTGAAACAAACTAAAAAGAAAAGACTAAGTAAATTATAAGTCGCTATTTGAACTAGCGACCTACAGGTAACATTCGTCACTTTTGTGAACAGTAAAAAAGATAAATAAATAAATAAATACAAAATAAAAAAGTTCACCAGTATTTACTCATAAGCTGAATTCCCTATCATTATTCACCCATCTCACGTTCTCATATTAATTTTATCTTTTCCTTACAATATAAAAACAAAGTCTCCAATTAATTATCTCTTCCATTAGATCTCAGTATCGTTTCTACTCTGTGATTGAGAAGAACAGGTAACGCTCCCATTCGCAGATCCATTATCGAATCTTCAATCCATTGTTTTTCAATTTGGTAAACACAATTCACTTCAATCCGATTTGATTCATACTCACATCTGGTTGTAATCTGCTGCTTCTGAAGTTTACTTGTATGGCCTCTAGTATTGTTCCGTTTTACTGTTTGACTTCTGTGTAAATAGTTGATTTTGAATGAAAGTAAATAATGGATGTGTTTGTGGACTGTTTATGCGTTTGTACTACCTTGTTGAAGACAGATGCCACGTGGCAGAAGGCTTTGGATTGCGTGAGGAGAAGAGGGTAATAGCTTCTTGAAGTGAGAGAAGCCCAATGAATGCTCTGTGTGTGTTAAAAGTCTGAAAACATTACTCCTATTTCAATCACTGGGGCACAAAATAGTCAAGTCCTCAGCTTGGGATCCTCGATACGTTCGATTCTATTGATACAGACTGGAGTATTATTTTTCAAAAAGAATAGAGAGTATGAATAAGCTAAAAACATCAAGCTCCGAATTGGACTTGGATCGACCCAATCTCGAAGATTATCTTCCAACTGGATCCATCCCAGAACCCCATGGCAAGCTTCGCCTGTAAACCCCCCTCCACTCTTCCCTCTTCCTTTTTCTTTTTTCACATGTTCCGAGTTTTGATTTTTATTCCCCCTTTTGCTTTCAGGCGCGATTTAATTGATATTTCTCCCACCCTAACTGAGGCTGCTGGTGCCATTGTTGACGTGAGTTCCCTCTTCCTTCCCCTTTTCATTTACATTTCAATTATACTAATTTAACACCGACCGATGACTGCAAATTTACTGATTGTCGCACTTCCATTAAAAAAATAAAAATTGGTCTCTACTTCTTTTGTTGGTGTTGGAGCTTGTCCTTATTGTCAATTGGTTAATTATGCAATGGCGGTGACTTCAAATTTGCTGGCTCTTTAACTAACAAACAACAATTCGAGCTTTACTTCGTTTGGATTTTGTCATAAAACTTTATTTTGGAGCTTGCCCTTTCAGTTTAAGGAAGTTTACATGTACCCATTTTCATTTAGTTACACCCATTCTCATATTCTTTTTTGGCAGGATTCTTTCACCAGATGCTTCAAGTCAAATCCACCAGAACCTTGGAACTGGAACATTTATTTGTTCCCTTTATGGTGCTTGGGGGTTGTTGTTAGATATGGGATTCTTTTCCCTATAAGGTTTAGCCTCTTTCATTTCTTTTATTTTTCCTCATTTGGGTCCTAATCATAAACTAACTTTAATCACCTACCATGGCCATGATAAGTGCACTTCCTCTATATGTAGAAGATGGATAGTTGTCCACTACCCCATTGAAAGAAGCTCACTTTTGTCATCCTTTGGTTCTAATGCAATTGCAGAGTTATTGTCTTGACAATAGGATGGATAATATTCCTCTCTTGCTATATCCCGGTGCATTTCCTGCTGAAAGGACACGATAAGTTCAGGAAAAAGCTTGAGGTATCTCTCTTGCTATCTGGTTACTTAAATTTTCTCTTTTATCTGCACTAGTTAAGGACTACGCGTTGGCATTTGCTCAGACTTTACATGGTAATGTTTGCCTTTATCCGTTGCCTTACTGTGGAGAAAGATTATATTCATCGACATTGAGACAAACATCACTTCACCAGGAGTATGATAAATTGACAATATGTTTGGATATTCTCTACTATTAATAAAATGTTTAGACTTGCTTCTGTTGCACTTTTGTTATTCTCTTGAAGAATAAGGTTTCTAACATCCTTGACTTGGTTAATTTTTTCCAGAGATGTCTGGTGGAGCTGATATGCAGTTTCTTTGTTGCATCTTGGACTGGGGTTGTCAAATACCATGGTCCACGGCCTAGCATACGACCTAAGCAGGTATTTCTGCCGCCATAATTTATACTCCCTCCGTTCCAATTTATATGAACCGGTTTGACTGGGCACGGAGTTTAAGAAAAAAATGAATATTTTTGGAATTTGTGGTCCTAAACAAGTAAAAAAAGGGCCCAGAGTATTTGTGTGATTATAAAAGCTTCTCATTAAGAGTAGAATTATATGTTTAAGCTAAATTATTACCAAATTTAGAAAGGGGTCATTCTTTTTGGAACGGACCAAAAAGGAAATAGGTTCACATAAACTGAAACAGAGGTAGTATTTCATATGTGAACCATCTTCTCTGATACATCTCAAGTTGACTTATGCATTTTATTGACAGGTTTTTGTGGCGAATCACACGTCAATGATAGATTTTATTGTCCTAGAGCAGATGACTGCATTTGCAGTGATCATGCAGAAGCATCCTGGATGGGTTGGTAAGATTTTGTTGTATTTGCATTGGTTGCTCTTTCATTTTGTCTCTCTGTCAAAAGTTGTTGAGCCTTGATATGAGGACATGTGTATTAACAATCAGACCTAAATATACCATCACACCATGGAGCATTTCTGAAAGTTAAGGCCTAATTACACCTTCAACATTTTAACTTCAAGTTTTTGGATCAGAACCTATAATTCAGTTATTGATTCAAGACCAGGGTGTTGGATAGGAATTTTGCAGATCTTGGTATGATAACTGCATAAGCTAATTACCAAAAGTTTGGTGCAGAGTGAGTGCATTGATCTGAATTGGAGTTGAATTTGATTTGCTAGTCAAATATATATGGAAGACAAATATTGAATCCTAGCATAACTATAAGTTGGCTATGTAAACCCTCTAACTTCTTGCCATGCCAATTGGACCACTTTTTAGAAAAATGATTCTTCTTAGGTAGGAGTTTGTGGATGTTGTTCTGCTAGCTGCTTTAGGTAATAGCAAAAGTTTGGTGCAAACTGAGTGCATTTGATGTGGAATTAGAGTTGACTTGATTTGCTGGTGAAGGAATTTATCGACGGCAAATATTGAAGCCTAGGGTAACTATAATTTGCCTGCCTATACCTTCTAATTGTTGTTGTGCTATTTGGCTTTCAACCAACAAAACCATTTTTTTTTGGATAGTAGGAATTAGTGATGGTTATAAGAGTTTTAGCTTGACTAAACTCCAGGTTATCTTGTATGGCTACCCCCCATCTCCTTATCTTTCTTTTACTGGGCAAGCAAATCTTGTTAGCGTCCTGTCCAGGAAGAATTAAAACCTTGTTTGTACCAGTCTAGATAAGACACTTTGGCAGCTCATATTTTGGTAAAGTGGTTATTCCTGTGATTTAGAATCTTGTATGCATAGAGTCTTATTAAATCGCTGGGCCAATTATAAAAACAAGTTACCCTTTTCATCTTTGCTGCCCTGCTGGTACAGTCTAGGCCAAAGTTTAGTCTAACTTGCTTATCACTAACTTAATTTCTAGCATTCCATTTGCTTAAGTTCAACCCATAGGATTATAAGGTGCTATACCCATCCCTGCTGAAGTGGGTCAACAGGGGCGAAACACGCATGTCTTCTTGTACTGTCCTTCACCTTGTCATTAATGATGGAGTGTCATTCGATTGTTTCAAAGTATTTGAATTGTGTGGCTCAACATCATCTGCATTATTAGTTGCCACCTTTAAGGGTGTTAAAGTCACCTTTCTATGGGCTCTTGAGAAGAGAAATGACATGCATATTTAGGGAACTTTGGGCTGCAAACCTGACTTCAAGGCAAAATTTATGAAATTGTATGTCTCCTCTTCTACTAGTGTGGGATTTTACTGGGTATGTTGTTGTTGTTGTTGTTGTTGTATGTCTCCTCTTCTGTACATTAACTTCTCATTAATAGTAATATTTTTGCAGGACTACTGCAGAGTACCATTTTAGAAGGTGTTGGATGTATCTGGTTCAACCGCTCAGAAGCCAAGGATCGCGAAATTGTAGCACGAAAGTACGTGATGTCAGAAGAATCATTCTGGACATCTCATTTCCTATTATTTTTCTTACAGATTTTAATTTTCAGGTTGAGGCAACATGTTGAAGGGGCCGATAACAACCCTCTTCTTATATTCCCCGAGGGAACTTGCGTAAATAACCACTACACTGTCATGTTCAAAAAGGTTGTCCCAATGAATTCACTCTTTATATAGAATTTTAAAGGGTTGAGCTCTCCTTGACCCAGATTATAGGTCTTTTTTGAGTATTCCCCCGTCAACTATCAGGAGAAAAGTAAATTTTATGGTGTTTCTGGTNAATCAAGTACAACAAAATTTTTGTTGACGCCTTTTGGAATAGTAGAAAGTAAGGTTTTCTTAATCCAAATTACTTATCTGGTTTATTTGGTAGTATTCATCTCGTTATACTCTCTCTTCTCTCCTGTTTTCTGTTTGCTAGTGTGAAGTATGACTTTCTTCTATTAATTGCAGACAATCCTTCACAACGCACCTCTTGCAGCTCATGACATCTTGGGCTGTTGTCTGTGATGTTTGGTACCTGGAGCCTCAGAACATAAGACCTGGGGAGACTCCAATCGAGTTTGCAGAGAGGTAAATTTCCAGCTGGAAAAGCAGTAACCACTGTTCTAACAGGGGCAATTATCTTATTAGATGTGAGATATTAATTCTTGGATTGTACTCCTATTTAAGGAAATTCTTGCCATCCTCTCTTTTCAGGGTGAGGGACATCATTTCTGCTAGAGCAGGTCTTAAAAAGGTTCCTTGGGATGGATATTTAAAATACTCTCGTCCTAGCCCCAAGCACCGAGAGAGGAAGTACGTTTCCTATATTCCCCCTCCCCCCAAATAAAAGAAGTAGTATAGACTTAAAAACTTTGTGTTGCTAGTTTACGTTTACTTTGATTTGTGTAGTAATAGAGCTGATCCTTTACCACCTCCTCAAAAAAAGAGCAGATCCTTACCTGCTATGTTCCCCGTCTTAAATTGTTTTCTTGATCATTTTGCATGTGTATCCTTTATGTTGATGGTGTTGCTGTCTACTATCCTTTTTCTTATTCTTCTAGAAGGAAGTTCCGTTAGTTCGCCTGCCACTGACATTGTTGTCTTTGTTTGAATTTCCGATAGGCAAGCTCTAGCGATACTAAAATTGCAACTCAAGCATTTAGAGGTTATATAAGTTTGAAATCACTGTTTGTTTGTTTTGTATCTGTAGGCAACAGAGTTTTGCAGAATCAGTGCTGCGTCGCCTGGAAGAGAAGTAGAGAATTGGATGTATGCGTTGTCTCCATGTTCACTTTTGCTTTGAGTTTGATCTTATTCTTAAGTTTATTTTTTTGTGGCCTATAGGCTATAGCTGTTCAAATTGGAATAGTTGCACAATTTGGCTTTCATCATTTTCATTAACCACAATAAAGAGAATATTAGAACAAACTTGGCAGCAATTGTATGTGAAGCCCTTTGCTTAGTCTTAATGATTTTTACTTTGGATGTCCACGCAATATACAATATTGTTTCTTGTGGCTGTTCACAGTGTTAAACCTTCAGTCTCTTTTTTACTCTTGTTCACACTACAGAAGCCCTTTTGAGTGGTATGGAGGAGTTTATTGGATGTAGGGACTGATATTTTATCGTTTTCCAAACTATGGATGTGGAGTTTTATTACTGCAGTAGATCCTTCCTATGGTGCACTCAGAGGTGTGACTTAAATCTGGTGAAAACCTTAGAAGATTGAGGTTCATATTCCATTAGACAAATGCTCAGGAAGCAGATAAGTGACGGAATATTCGGGGTGCGCAAGATGAAAAAACACAAACGCGCGCTTAAACCTCGGTTGATAGAATTATATATATATTGCAAAAAAAGATAAAACTATAAAATCAGCGCTGAAATCTTCTGCACGTGGCTATCCCAGTCATTGTGGTTGCCTCCACGTTGGTGGAATTAATTGTTGGCTGCAGAACTTGAGCTACAAATGTTTTAAGGTATCGGGGGCCTTCCAATATAAGGGAATCCGAGAAGAAATTATAACAGAATTATCTGAATTGATGTGGCCTCAATTGTTTGTTTGATTTGCGAAGTTTAATACTCCTTTAGTTCATTTTTACTTGTTTATTATATCAAAAATATATTTTTACTTTTATTTGTCTATTTTAGCAAATCAAGATAAAAGATAGTTTTGTCTTTTCTTGTTATATTTTTATTTCTGTCTTCCTGAGCTATCGAAAACAACCTCTATGCCTTATCGGGATAGGGATAAGGTCTGCATACATATTACCCTCTCCAAACCTCACGTTTGTGGGATTTTATTGGGTAGTTGTTGTTGTTGTCTCTTCTTGTTATATCCTTGTCATTAATTATTTATTCTCTAAATTATTTTCAAAGATATTTTGAAATACTATTATTATTAAGAGTATTATGATAAATGATATACTTTATTTATTATTATTTTTAAAGGGAGTGCAATTCGTTTTGGTGGGACTATGTAGGGGTGTTCACAGTTCGGTTTGGTCGGTTTTTGATTAAAACCAAAATCAAACCAATTTAATCGATTTTAAAATTTTAAAACCGAAACCAAACCAAATTACATACAAACCATCGGTTTGGTTGTTGTTGGTTTGGTTTGGTTTGGTTTTTCGGTTCCTAGTAAGCTAATGATAAGTCGATAATAGTAAAATAACACTAGACAACAATCTAAAAATAATTTGCTAAATTTACGCTTTTTTATATATTTATTTCGGAACTGGAAGTTTATTTACCTATTTATACGAAAAAATGAACAAAAAACAAATTAAAAGTTTACCATCTCAAGCTTTAGCTACTATAGTCTTGCAATTTGAATTTTCTTTCTTTACTCTTGTCGTAGTTTTTTTTTTCTTTCTAACTCTTTTATTAGAAAAAAATATGTGTGTAGGTTAGAGAGTTAGATTCTCTTAGGGGTCATTTGGTAGGGTGCATAAGAATAATGCTCAATATGGTAATTAGTAATGCTGATATTAGTTATGCTTGCATTAGTTATGCTGGTATTAGTTATGCTGACATATTTCTTATCCATTATTTGGTTTGATGTATTAAAGCATTGCACAATTTTTAAAAGAATTGCTTATTTACAAAAATACCCTCAAAACCAGTCCATCACTCTAAAACTTTTTAAAAGAAACATATGTTGAGAAATATTTTTATATGAAAAAATTTAAAAAAAATATTTGATTTGTCTACCTATATTTTAATATAGAACTAAATCTTTATTTATAAAAAAGGAAATATGATAAGTATTTATTTATTTACTAGAGATATAATTTTATTTCTCACTATTTGAATTATTTTAAACTTGCATTCATATAATAACTAGCATATTTTAATCAAGCATAAATTTTGAAGGACAATTTTGTCTTTAACTAAGCTAATGCATGCATTAAAACCCATTGCATTGCTAATACCATGGTTTTTTATGCATTAGTTATGCATATGATAATACCAAATATGATGTATAACTAATGCTTGCATAACTAATGTATAGGTTCAAAATATCTACCAAAGAAGGTATTATTAATACACAAAGCTAATGCAAATATTATTTTATCTAATACATCCTACCAAACGACCTCTTAAGGAAAAGAAAATTGGTCGATTCCTATTCTTTTGGACTCAGACAATCTTTTAAGATATAAGTAGGATAAATCAAAATTCAAAATAATAATTAAAATGCATAAAGTATTTAAAATTATTTATGAAAAGATATTATATCATATATCAATAATTATTAATATTTTTATATAATTAATCAGTTCGATTTTTTCGATTTTTTATAATAGAAACAAAACCAAATAAAATATTATCAGTTTTTAAAATTTAAAACCAAACCAATCCAATCCAAATCAAGAAAAATATCGATTTACTTAATCGGTTTGGATCGATTTTTTGTTAAACCGTGAACAACCCTAGTACTATGTTTAATTAATGTGGCTAAGTTTGAAACCCAAGGTAGTCTCTGCCTCGTGTTTTGAAGTGGTAGCTTTTATTAAGTTGTCTTATGCTTGAGCTTCTGAGCAACAAGCGCTGCAGCCTTTACATTACAAAGGCATTTCTTACTAATTCCAAAGACTTAAAAAAAAACATTAATCTGCTTGAGGACCGATATGAGTTAGAAGACAACAACGTCCTGGGCAGAGGTTGTCGGCTGGTCAAATTTTCACATATGTTTGGCCTTTCATTATTCTGCTAATATTCCTTCAGTTCTAAAGAAAATTCCAACCTTTTCTGTATGTACATGTTTGATATTCCATCTTGTATCCTTTCTAAAGTGTGGATTTCCTTCTTTTCCCTAAAAAGTTGTTGTAAATGAACTTCAAATTTTTTCTGTATCTGGCTCGTCATGATTGACACAAGTGCTCGGGCATTTCGTAGGAGCAATTCGGATTGACCTTTATATAAAATCTTTATGATAGCGGTGAAGCTACGTGGTCACGAGGGTGGTCAACCAACCATCTTTCGTCGAAAAATTACATTACAAATATAAGTAAAATATATATTTTATCGGGATTTTTTTCGACTTCTTTTAAGTTTGAATACTCTTAGGAAAATTACTAGCTTCTGAACATCTATGTGTTTTGTGTTTTGGATTTCAAGGGAAAATTTCAAAATCTCGAGAACTTTGGGGCCCTATTTGTAATTGGAACATTCATCTTTTAGAATTTCATTTCCACGTGAATGTGGGGTTCGTTACAATTTCTTAACGTCTATTGCTCGAATTTAGAATAGATAATGTCCCACTCTCTGTCACTATTAAAGAAGGAATTCAATGCATTATTATAAGCCTATGTTCAAGGGTGGTGGGATTGGTTGATATTCCCTCTTTCCCATTTTCTTCACTTACGTTAAATTTTTTTATGTTCAACGGTTTTTGGGTATTTTATAATTTCTTCTCTCATTTTAGTTGACTTTAATTAGTCTATGAAATGATGATTATTCGAATAATTTAGACTGACAATAATTGAAACAATAGTTGGAATTGTAAAGTAGAGAAAGTAATGAAATGATGACACACTAAATTTGAATTGATGGGAATGAAGTTGCTATTTCAAAAGATATGTTGCTATATTTTTCTAATTAAACGGATCAAAACAGAGAATATGCTTAGTAAAAATGAAATGTACGTTGTACCTAATTATTATGACGCTTGTCTATCCCAGATGTTGACACATGTACTAAATGAAAATTCGAAATAAATAACTTTATTACAACGCTTATTCATAAGGAAAGGATAGCGTAATAGTTATGTTGTTAAATAGAAACTATTCAACTTCACTCTCCATAATTTATCAAAGTGCCTGCCCTTGAATGATGATGACCATGACCAAGTGAGTTGCTTCTACTATATTATAAATTATAAATCTGTTATTATTGGAGAAATTTAGTTCTTGAGGAGAAATATAACTTCTAACTAGTATAAAGTTTAAGACGTGAAATCTGAAATTCAAAATATTATAGTATAAAAAAAGTTAGGTTATTGGGTCTGGTCAGGGCCGGCTCTAATGTGTTAGAGTAGTAAGGCTTTTGTCTTAGGCCCCCAAATTTTGGGGGTCCCACTTTTTAAAAAATAATAGGTTTATAAGTATTTTAAAAAAAATAATATTTAGTATTTTTAATGCAAAAGTATAGTTTTTAATATAAAAGGAAAGAAAACTCTTTAGATACATAAATAAAGTAATAATTTGACTTACTTAAACATGTGTAGATGGATAGTTTTCCCAATGTTTTAATTTTTCACTTCTTACTCTTTCATTAGATAACGTGTAAAAAATTTACTCCCCCTTTCTTAATTTGTCCAAGTCGATCTTTCTTTTCTCGATCTCTTCATATTTCAGAAACTCCTACATATTTTATGTCTTGCACTTTAATATTCTAACTCACCTTCTTTCTCAAAGAAATTTAAACTTTCAATAGTTCTATACTTCTATTGCTGTATACAATCTTATCTAAAATTAACAATATCTCAAGAAAGATTAAATGAGTTAGCTATATTATCAATCAAAAATCAATCATTAAGGAAAATCGACTATAAAAAGTATTTAATACACTTTGTATCTTAGAAAGCTAAAAAAATATAGACTTTAAATAAAAACATATCGTATAATTTTCTTTTAAAAATTTAAGCCTCATAATTTGGTTTTAGGCATCGCATATACTTGACCCGTCCCTGGGTCTGGTTTTTCCTTCATCCAAAGGATCGAAGGAGTAGAATCCAGTCTTCTTCAAGTAATCTGTTCAATTTTTCTTCAAAAAAAAAAAAAATTGAATTTGTGCTGAATTTATTTGTTACTAATATATTTTTAACTAATGTGTAACACTTAAACATCTCTGTTGACCCAACCCAAAACAAAAGTACTCTTGGAAAATAAACCACTCACGTTGGACAAAGAGTCCGTTTGGCTTCACTGATTTAGAGTAGTTGATAAAAATTATGTACTGAAAAATACTTTTAAATGCTGTAGTTGATTTAAAAAATAAGCAGTTACACGTTTGGATA